TGTCACCATTAATATAGCAGGTATTTTATTGAAACGTTATATGAATACATTAAACACTCTGCCAAAACATTGATGACATTGCAAGTGTATATGTTTTCTAAATGTTCAATCGATTTTTGCCATAAAAACGCAACTATCTATCTTTTYGTCAGTAAATTGTTTTTAATTGTGTTAGCTGTAAAAGCATGTGCTAACAAATATTTAACCTTTCTAGCCTTTTCTAATGCAACGAAAATGTGAATAATGTTTAGATCGATTGGAAAACACTGGACTGCTAGTGACATTTTCTAGTATCTAAGGCTTATAAAGTGTTTTTTAAATGTATACAATGCATGAAAAAGTATATGGGCCGTCAAATTAACTGAAAAATCGTTTCTGTTTGGGATACTATACGGCTGATTGACGATCAAAGAAACTCAAAAGTATCCTGACAAAATGAGAAAATTATGATTATCTCAAACATCGAATAGCGAAAATTAATCATCTATGTAGGCTTTGGCCTTTGWATATTGGGAGGCAGTTTCAAGATAGTCTGGTGATAACCTAGTAAGTGAGGTACTTAAGAGTTCTTTCATGGAATGACCGTTATGATTTTGAAAGAGGCAATAAAACTTACCCCAGGAAGCTCGATTGTTCGTCGTTCAATTTCAAGTCCTTCGCTGACAATCTCTTTCTCAAAGTTTTCMCGTTCCTTTTCATTATTTTCTGCTTTAGCTTTGGAATTTTCATCTTTGTTTTCGGTCTCTTCGCATCGCTCATACACAAGAATATAATGAATGTCCTTGGCGCCATCGTTGAATTGAAGCCCAAAGTTACTGGCATCACCGTCGGTATTTCGTGGTTCCATCTCTAAGAGCACATCACTGTCTTTAGATATAGATGGACTGTGTTTTTGTTCATCCATGCCAGTYTACAACACATTTACCAGCAGACAGCAAACCTCTGGGTGTGAGCAAGCAACAGCAGCCAAACAAATTATATGCTAATTATTCCAAACAACAATAGATTACATTATGTTATTAACGGAGCTCCCACGAGATTAGATGCATGGTCGACATGATATTGAAACCTTTGTTCGCAACCGAGCACATGCTGCATRCAAAGTTCTTATTTGCCAGAAAGACAAAACTTGTGCTCAGGCAACCAACAAAGTGCAAAAATAATCTCCAAAGAAGCTTTTGAGCTTGGGATTCCGGGGGAGGCAAGTTGACCGTGCGATCAACCCCTCCGCCTACACAAAGGTCAACACGCCCTTAACTTTATCTTTTTATTTGCAATTCATATTCTGTTTTTGACTATATTACGTCGAGTACGGCGATAGTCAATGGAATCAGGGATGATTTAACCTGCAGCCTGCACTGATTAATTATCATTAACACATAACAGAATCACTGACATATTTTATTACTTCTTGATTTATAGACGATATATTATTTTCTTGTAACTTTTCGTAAAGAATCAATGAACACATTATCATAATCAATATAATTATATAATAATATTTGCTAGTATTATCTTCCTGTATGAATCAACGCTCTATAACGATGATGAAAACTTGTGAAAAAATCTAAAACCTGCCGGTTCACACAAACAACGTAAGCTTGCCGCAGGAAGAAAACTCACAGGTTCATAACTGCGACATAACAGATGCAAGGCCAGTATACGGCAAGAAAATAAACAATGCACTGTTTCCGCAATTACATTGCTTGTGTGATCCACCTTGAGGATTATTAGCTGAAAAATTAGGTATTCCTGTTGCAAAATAGTATAGGGTATATTGCCCGCTTTTCCGAGTCAAAAAATTGTTGTTCTGTCATCTTTCTTCTATACTTTTTTTGGTGACAAGATCGGTACTTTAGAAAAACAAGTTACATAACTTGAGACATTTTAGTCAACATGCATTTACGAAAAAACAAGTACAACCAATGACATCTAGTTATGAATTCGTTTTATGGCGTCCTTACGGCATGGACAAGCAAGRRAAATAGATTTGTTGGACTGTATGTTTTCAAGTCCACCTCTGTACGACATGTCAAATTGAGCATTGTACTACTTGTAAGTTTTCTAAGCATGAACGGGCTGCATTGATTCCTCTAGAGCTTTCTTGGCCAAGTACTCCTCTCTTTTGATCCTCAACTCTAGATGACGTGGTTTGTCAGGTATGATGTAAGCRATGAACTTTGTGACGGCATAAACGATGTATTGAAATACGAACACGAAGGCCAGGCGGGCAGCGATCACGTGCCAGTGTTGCTTGGTAACATCGTAGGGGGCATGTGGTTCTCGATAGCCTGGATACCTGGGAATGTACAAATGAGAAAAGAAAATAATGAGAAAAGGAAGTGTTCAGCAATTTAATTGAATCAGAGGATGCTGTGTAAAGATACTACCACAGGTAATCCAACAGAGAAAAACCCCAGCTTAATCCATACTATAGTTCCATTAAACAATAATTAGATAATGAATTATCGTATAATCATTGCAGTTAAATATAGTTCATGACAAGAAATCCCTCACCGACAAWAAGGTCTAGAGTAGTTGAGAACAGTGTAGGCATAGCGGTCTTGTGGTCTCGCCATTGAATCCCTTTGAGCGTAGTCAGAGACGTTAAAGTATGATAGACTATTGTTGAGATATCCGTGTAGAGTACCGTCAGGACTGTACTTGGACTTGTACACTAACCTRAAAATTATATAAAATACTGAAACACAATTGACAGAACAGTGCGCAATGRCCACACAATACAGTCGGACGTAAACGCAAACCAAACGTTAACCAACGTCTTACTTTCACTGATACCTTCGTATGATACCAGCAATGAAACGCGAAAAAACGCGCCAACCGATACGGAAATATTACGTAAATTCATACGAAATAATTGTTACAATACTRATTACCTTGGTATGAAGTCAGACGTAAACGCAATGACAAAAGCGTTAACCAACACGGAAATGTTAGCCAAACCCTCCATGATTTGAAACCATGCGCCGATATCTTGTGCACGAAGCGACGTTGGACGACGGAACTGACATATAAAATTAATGGCATCGACCCGGATCTCCATGGCTGTATTAAGCAGCGAAAAGAGCGGGGCGAGTGGGAAGGCGGCAACGAACATTGTGACAAAGCCAAATTGAAGAACTGAAAAATAAAACTACATTCAATTTTCATTGTAATTTTTTAAACGTTCTCTTAGGTTCAGAAATAGAGTATCGCGTGCGTATGATGCTTACGACCGAAAACTGAACCTACTGTTCTCTTACCTACTTCAAGGTACTCCCAAAACAGATGATGTTCTGGCAAGGCACCTAATTTGTAATCAGCCTCCCATTGTGGAAGATCGATGTAAGATTCTTTCCTGGCTTGCCGTAACTTCCACCATTTCATCAAACCTCTGAGAAAATGAAAGAAGACGTTGATTTGAATGGTATTTTAATGACTACTGGATACTGTATTCCCGATTCATAAAGGACAAGTTAATTAATAAATAAATATAATAACAAATGGCTGATTGAATAAGCAAACACGGTAAATGAACTAATAAAATAAGGGAAATGAAAGGAAAGAAAGATATAGAATGACTGAATAAATGAGATAAACTTACGGGATGGCAATCTCTGTGATGTTACCAATGACCTGCTGACCAACCATGATGATAACCATTTGGATACAAAGGTCCATCAAGCATCCCCCGGAACTGCAACCATCAAGTCGGAACTTTCCTACTAAACGTCGATAATTACCGGGGGTACCGATGACAAGGTTTAGCTTGAAGAACGCGATGTAGAAAATGGACGAATACGTGTTGACAAACTGGAAGAGGTACATCTTGTAGGTAAAGCTATCCTTGAAGTCTGTTTGTGTGCGAGGGTTTTCCCATTCGGTGAGGAACATAGCAAGTCTTTCGTACACAAACTTCAGGAGATTAATACAGACCAAGTTGATAATAGCGGCCGTGATGGTGGTTGCAATCTTGGCATTTTCTCTCACTGATTTATCCTTGTAACTCATTAGAGAACCATAGACAGACGCGCGGTATACAACAACTCCAACCACCGCAGCCAGCACAAGCGAGATCATAAACGCCACGAGACTGCCAACACCTGCAAGCTTTTGGTAGCGTTGCCTCTTGGGAACGTGCGGTATCATCTTCTTGGTTACCGGATCTTCTTTAAGGGTGGTGACACGTGTCAAAAATTCAGGGCGTGGCTGTTCCTCTTCATCTTCAAAGTGCATCATGTGCCACTCATAGGCGAGAACAGCTTGTCGTCGTTTCCAGAACTCCAAGAACAGAGTRGCCCAGATTGACATGAAGATTGCAAACACTACAGTTGCATCGTTATCAAAAGCGTGCACTGCAATGGCATAGTAGCAGTTTGAAATGAGAGACCAATACGGACATTGCTGGTCACAGAGAGGGCACATGTAAAACTCAGCCTCATTAGTCTTGTTACAGATGTCTTTGACAGGAGGAAAGTTGTAGGCRTTTACAATACCGTATATGAACACTATCAAACCAAATAAGGCTGCAGGGACCAGCATAGCGGTGTAGAAACCAAGCCAGGAGAAGTACAGACCTATTTCAGTACCAAAGTAATCTTTAATGGCATGGTAGGGCTGRTACTTGAGCCAGCGACCAAATCGTGCCCACTCTYGTCTCAATCTCTGCCTGTCACTTGATGGTTCATGACCCATTGCGACTTCCTCAGGTCCCGAATGAAGTGGATATGCAGCTACGTAGGCACCATGATGGAGTAGACGCTTGATACCATGATCAAAACGGTCCTCACCAAACCTCACCTGAAGACAGATTCTTTCAACCATGCGACTTCGCTCACTCGGGCTGAAAAATGTCATCTGATCATGATGACCTAGAAACTGGTCTAAATGTTCTCTGCGGAACGTTGCAACAAACTGCCTTGGAGGGGAGGGGATGGAGGAGTTTTTSACCTTGAAAGGGTCTTTGCTGTGTACTGATTCTAGAAATTCTTCACTTAAATGCTTCTCTGCCCAAGATTTGATCTCAATGTCACTTTCTTTGATTGGCATCTTCATCAGCATGTCTTCAGCTGTTTTGGAAAGAAGCTCCCAAGGGCCATGCACTTTGATGAAATGAGTGTCACGCTTTGTGTTGACCTAAGATTTAAATAGAATTTTAGAGTAAATTATACCCTGCAATACAATCTATCATAATCTTCTACAACCATCAGTGGACAAGTGAAAGGTCAAGATATTGTCATATTTTTTTKGACAACTTTGTGGTTTCAATGCAGCAAAATATAAATTTTGTGGTTTTAATATAGCAAACTATATGAAAGTAAAATAAAAAAATTAAAGCAAAGATGTATTATTTTCACCAATGAATATAATTTCAATAATCGACAAATTGCTGATTAACTGCAAATAAAAAGCATCATCGTCATTATTATTATCTTCAGAATTATTATGAAAACCGTCATGATTACTATAGGAGAAGATGTCTTTCTGTATAATATATGTATGATAGAATGATATTTTTCCAGTATTTTACAATTTTATCATGCCA